GTCTCGCCATATCGGCCGGTATGTTGCGACCTGTGACTTGTGCTGTCGCACCAAGGCACTCCGGAGACTGCCCCACGGAGAACTGCACCCCACGGAAACGCCTCCGGAACGCTGGCATACCGTCTCCGTCGACTTCATCGTAGAGCTTCCCGAAGCCCATGGGTACGACGCGATCATGGTCGTCGTTGACACCCTCGGAAAGCGCGCCCACTTCTCAGAGTGTCATACGACGGTCGATGCAGTAGGGGCAGCCCGCCTCTACTACCGGAATGTCTGGCGGCACCATGGGACTCCGGAGAAGTACGTCTCCGACCGCGGCTCGCAGTTCATCGCGGACTTCACCCGAGAACTTTGGCGTCTAATCGGCATCAAGCCCGCCACGTCCACCAGCGTACCACCCGCAGACAGACGGTCAGACAGAGCGCGTCAACCAGGAGCTGGAGCAGTACTTGCGGATCTTCACCAACTACCAGCAGGACGACTGGGATGAGCTGATTCCGGCCGCGGAGTTCGCCTACAACAACCACGTTCACTCCTCCACGCAGCAGGTCCCCTTCATGACGGACACGGGACGGCTCCCCGCATGGGCTTCGAACCCGGAGTCCGTTCCGCCATGGAGTCAGTGAACGAGTTCCGCGACCGGATCGCCACTGGTGTTGCTGAAGCCAAGGCCGCGCTCACTAAGGCCAAAGAGGAGTACAAGCGCTACTACGACCGGAGACGGACTCCGTCTCCGGAGTTTAAGGTTGGCGACCGTGTTTGGCTGGATGCCTCTGACATCAGGACGACTCGCCCCTCGGAAAAGTTCTCCCATCGCCGCCTTGGACCGTTCAAGATAGTCCAGGAGATCAGCAAAGGTGCCTACAAGCTCGCCTCCCTCCGCTACTCGAAGCTCCACCCGGTCTTCCCCGTCGTCAAGCTCGAGCTCGCTCAGGACGACCCCTTCGACGGACGCCCCGGCTACGACCAGCCCCCTCCGGACCTCGAGGACGGAGTCCCGGAGTGGGAAGTAGAGGAAATCCTGGACGCAAGGGTGAGGTATAAGCGGCTGAACTACTTCGTCAGATGGAAAGGCTACGATGCATCTCGACGACCAATGGGTCCGCTTCGACCGCATCTTCGCCCGGAGAAAATTGCGGAGTTCTATCGTAAGTACCCTGGCAAGCCACGACACATCGCCTCCGCGACCTTCGACTCGATTCCGTTCCGGTCTATGCGCCGGGACGCCGCATTCAAGGGGGGTGATGTCAGGGGAACCTCCCTTTCGGCCCCTCGGAGACGCCTCCGATTCCGGTCCGACTCCGGTTCCGTCTCCGGTCCGGCCCTCCATCTCGCCCGCACAATCACCGATCCGTCAACGCCCTCCCGACGGTCGCCCTGGGACCTTGCCTGCGACGCCGCCCAAGCCTTCTGTGCCCGACAGCGGCAGCTACGGACAAGCAGTATATAGTCAGCTCCCTAGCAGGCGGACCCTTAGAGTTTCTTCTCTTTGGATCCTCCCCTGCTAGGTCAGCTTCATTTGTATTCGCTTACCAATGTTCACGCTTTGGATCCTCCCCTGCTAGGACCTTGATCTCAGGCCTCCGGGGTTGCCCTTACAGGCAACCCCCGCGTTGCTGAGCGTCAGACCTGACGACTCTGCTGGTGTCTCCGCAGGAACCTCCTCCTCAACCACTCTGGGCACCATGACCCGTACCCGCGACGGTCCCGTAACCTTCTTCTTCTTTCCCTTCTCTTTGACCATACCCGCTTCCTTCTCGTCCTTGCGGAAGCGCAACGGTGGGTTTCCGTCCTCGCAACGAGCCTTGAGTTTGCGGCAATTATCGCAAGAAAGCCTTCCGTGCCAAGTTGTGTTGGGCTTTAGGGTCGCTCCACACGCATTTTTTCCCCAGCTTGACACACTTGGCGCATTTTTCTGCCAAAACGGGTCAGGTTCATAACCGAAAATATTACTTGCACTCACTTTCTTCTTCTGCATCGCCGTCTGCATCGGGCCCATCAGCCTGGGCCTTCTCGGTGTTCTCGGTTTCTTCCGCCTTTCTGGGTTCTTTGGCTACATCAGCCGGCTCGGGCTCCGCAGATGACTCAACGTGTCGCATGACCCGGCGGCCAACCCGGGCATTTGCCTCAGCCGTCTCGGCAAGGGTCAGCGGTGCGAGTCCGCGTTCCCGGCAGGCTCTGACCCGATCTCTGGCCAACAAGGCCCGGCCCCGGCGATTTTGTTCTTGAGGCTCAGCCTCGTCTTCTTGCCCTCTGAGCATTGCGGCTCGCTGGCGCTCGGCTCGGCTCCTATGGTACTCGGCTGCTCTTTCGATGAGCTCTTCTTCGTCGTTGGGAACCCACTGCAGCGGCGCCACTACGGACCCATGCTCCGACGATTCCTCAACGATTGGCTCGTTGTCAACCGGGTCGTCGGGATCATACGACTCCGACCGACCACCCGGTGACGGTGCTCTTGGAGCCGTTTCCGCCAGTAGCGCACGCAGCGTTTCTGCTCTGCGCTCCAATTCCTCCAGCTCCCTCCGCACATCTACGTGTCGGTTACGACCTGATGGTAACACGTCAGCCAAGGGGTCTCTATCGGTCCCCCCAACCCAGCCACTAACCCTCTCCGTTTCCGACAGCTCCTCGACCTGCTCCACCGCATTTGTGAAGAGGTTCTTGGCCTTCTTCGGTGTTTTGGCGTTCTGGCGTTTAGGCGACATGGTGGGAAGTGGTAAAGATAGAGAGATTGATGTCAATCGGTGACGTGCTTCTTGTCACCCCTTTCCTTTTTCATCCTCCTTGCTATTATCATGTTCTCACCAGCTTCCTCAGTGATCTCGGCCTTTCCGGCTTTCGACTCAAAATTTTCACAAGTCCAACTCTGACTCCGACTCTCTCTCATTCCGACTCCTACCTCTACGACTATTGCTCCTGTTTCTTGTGGGCAAGAAACGCAAGAGGGGGATACTGTTATATCCGTGCCGACTCCGGCATCCGTCTCCGATATCCGTTTCCGGTATTTGGTTTTTATGCAATGAAGATTTACTGAGCGTTTCCAATTACCCCGACTTATGATCTATGCAATCATCTATGCCTTATTCCTCGTATGCATCTCCCCTTCTATTTTACTTGACTTTGTTCTAATCTCGTTACTTACTTTGTTATCCCTTATTCTGTTTCCGTTACTTCTCGTACTATAAATACTTTGATGTATTACTACATACTTCAGTTTGTAAATTAACGTTGCTGGTCTCTATCTCCCAGCGTCGTCTCGACTCCGCTCTTCTCTTCTTGTCTTGTCTTGGTCAACTGGAAGCCCCGGTCACCCAAACATCCTTCTGTGGTGTTCCGCCCCAAGTGCTCTACGACTTCGATTCCGTTTCCGACTTCGACTCCGTCTCCGTCTCCGTCTCCGTCTCCGTCCCTTTGGTCGACACGGCACTTAACAGTTCCCCTGACAATGAATTTATTTTTCATCCGAGGCCCACAGCATAGTTATCTAGCCAAAAATGGTATTCAGATTGAGTAAAATACTACAGTATCTGATATTCAAGCCACAGGTTGAAAATGCACTGTCACATAGACAGATTACAACTTATTACAAGCAACATCATTAAGACAGTTCAAAGAAGAAAGTTTAGGTACTATCTATAAATATCACAAGCCTTGTATAGTGTTTACTTGCCTTTTATATGAAATCTAGATACCTATTTAAAATTATTAAATATGAAATTGAGCATTCCTATTATAAATCTATAACTAAATAAATAAGGTAATTGGCTAATGGGATGGCTGATGTTAGATGTGTAAGCTTATATTACATTGGAACTCTATAAAAATATAAGGCCGCACTACTACTGACTACTTCAAAAAATCATCAACAAAAAAGTTTATAAGGCCAGTTAGAGGGACTGACTGGCATCATGTGTGTGTGTATTGATGCCATCATACCACCCCCTCACTGCAGGAGTTTGGGAATAAACAGTGCCTGTTTCAATCGATTATATACATAAAATCAATGTACCAAAAAAAATAAATTGTTTATACCTCTATTTGCACCCAAAAAAAATTGATCCAAATTTGCCTCCTTATATGAGAAATAGATGCTATAAACAGACTCAGTTTTGTCAACCGGTTTTGGGGCAGATCAAACAGCCTTTTCTAAACCAACTTTTGTATCAAAACAAGAACCAAAAATATTCATGTATATTCACTTATATAATATATATCAGGGCCCTGGACCATATTTTTTGGTCCCCATTTTGATGCAAAAGCTGGTCTAGAAAAGGGTGTTTGATCTGCCCCCAAAGTGGGTGACAAAACTGAGTCTGTTTATAGTATCTATTTCTTATATAAGCAGGCAAATTTGGAACAATCTTTTTTGGGTGCAAATAGAGGCATAATTTTTTTTCTTTTTTAGTGCATGGATTTTAAGTGTATAATCGATCGAAAGGGGCGCCGTTTATTCCCGAACTCCTGCAGTGCCTTGGTTCTTGTTGCATGAGTGTTATCTATAATGAATATTAATATTGATTATGTAATTACAGCACTACCACTGTGCTAAGCGAGTCTACTTGTTTATCTGATTTTTAGAGAGTTGGCATGACTGGATTGCAAGAGAATGCTGAATCACAATTTATTGCCTTTTCTGGCCCTACCACTGTGCTAAGCGAGTATTTGTTACTACCTTCTACTAGAGTCTATCACAGGCCAAGTATTAGTTTGTAAAAGACTGCCCAAGCTTGTGGTACAGTGAATACTAGTTCATTATATAGTACATACAGCAATCTGTTATTGATGCTATCCATACATATAACTGAATCATGGTTGAATCATAGTTGGATCATGTTGGCCCACACTAGGCAATCTTAGACATGTTAGTGTACTTATGTTGGCACTACCTTTTTGCTGTTCTCAGACTGTATCAGGTTCAGCCACCAAGACATCTTCAACTTCTCCGCAACTACAAGTACAGGAAGATATTTCATTTTTTACTACTGACACAACCATCCAGCTCAACTGGCTGCACCAGGATTGGTGAGTGTCAACACGGCAGGTCGATATGGCAATAGACCGTAGTCACCACCAGAAGATGTAGCCCGACCCTGGTACAACAGCTGCAAATGGCACGGGTCGATTTCCATTGTCTGGTCGGCAGTGTCGCGAATGATGTCGCCATGGCTGATATCGTTCGTCCAGGTTGCGCCGCTGTTCGCCTTGCCCGCAAATGGGTTACTCTCGCTCGTCTTGTCCGCTGTCCATGAGCCGCTGAGACTGGTGGCGGTGAAGGAGCGGAAGTAGCGCCCGTTGGCGCCGATAGACTCGACGATCATCAGCCACTTGGTCTGGCCCTTGAGCTTGTAGACCTGGACGGCCTCGAAGAGGTCGTTGGTGGCGCCGCTCATGACTGTGGTGAACGACGAGCCAAAGCTACCGGGGAAGTTGCCAATGGGCATGCTGGCACGGTAGATGCTGCCATTGTCGCCAGCGAAGAACAGGTACATGTTGGAGCTGTCTCCAATCAGCGTCTGGTCAATCGGGCCAGTGCCGCTGCCAGAGATGGACCCAGTGAAGAGAGTGCTATCGCCTGACCAGCCGTTGACGCTGGTAGGGTTGCTGGATGTGCGGTAAGAGAATGTGGTCGGACCCCATTGGTGAGCAAGGATCCAGATGTTTTTCGGGGCGAAGAGGAACAGCGTCGGCGCAACTGAGCCTGAAGACATGCCGGTCTGAGTAGCAGATGCCATCTGGCTCCAATCGCTGAATGTGCTGAAGCCCATAGAGCCCCATGTCGAGCCGGTGTCGTGGCTGGTGCCATAAACGAGATGCTGGCCGTTGAATGGTACATGGCTAAAGTCTTTGAGCGACACCCAGCCTGATTTTGGCGTCGCAAGAGCAGCAGTCGAGTTCCACTTGTAGCTCGAGGGAAGAGCACACGTCTGCGCCGTCGCAATAGCTACAGACGCAAGAGCTATGAGCAATGCTTGGATCATTGTTTTCGTAGGTTGCCATACTTTTTCGTTGGGGTTGCTACTTATACAACCAGGTTTACCCGCTCCTCCGGTCCCGTGTCAACGTGAAAGTGGTCATCGACGCTGGCTCCAGCGGTCCGCCTATGATCGCGTGGGGTGCGGTGGGTACGACGCGCATCTCTTTGGTGTGGTTGTGGTACCGGAAGAGTGTCGGAGGGTCAAGTGATGTCACGTCGTCATTCGGCCCGTACCGGACCAGTGGCCGCGGCCATGGTGGCGAAGTCTTTCCGGCCAATTGCAGGTTCAAAGTAGTCTCTTCCTCCATCATATTGTCTGTGAAGAACGGGAATCGGGGAATGCTATTTTCTTCATCTTCAAAATCGTGAGCCATGCTATTTCCTTCATCTACAACATCAATAGTTATGCGAGACCGAGAGCCGCCCTCAGCTTCGCGAAGTTCGGTGAGCCTAGCCCCGTGACTGGATCCCAGCCAGCAGTCGCGTTGAATCCACTACATAGAAATAAGAGCCACGAATAAACTGCGGGCGAACAAACAAACCTAGTTCCGCATCCGGGGTTTTTGCCTTCTTTGACATCATTCAGTGCTGCGCGACCAGCAGGACTATATAGCAAAGGGTTGAGGAACCCGAGTGGGCTCTTGCCAGCGCTGATAAGCTCGTCGTTGAGCAGGGAAATGACCGACGCAAAGACGGGCGACGATGCAGAGGTGCCGCTGACAAGGCCACTAAAGTTGCCGGAGATGATGAGGAAGTTAACGCCCTCAGCAGAGACATCAGGGAATCTGCAAGGATTCAATCAAAGAGAATGCGGAGAGGCGAAGACCTACCCGCGTCCAGTGGCATTGAACAAACCGCTGTATTGACCGTTCAGACTCGCAACATACGTATCAACGTCGTTCTTTTGGTATTCGGGGACCGGGAAGTAGTTGGAAAAGCCTAAAGGAGATCATATCAAGCCATGGTGATGGGGAGTTCCTACACACCACCAGAAGAGAACGCAGCAGCAATCTCAGAAAAGTTGTTCTTGGTGAAATTTTCGAGGATCGTCTGCGAAGAGCCGACAGAGGTGACCCAGGGACAGCCTGAAGGAGCAGTGGGCACAAATGTAGTGCAGTCGAATTCATTTCCTGCGACGCCTCCATCGCCAGACGAGAACCTAGGAAATTTATTAGTGGCAATAATAGGAGTGGTTCAAATCACAGTATCGACGTTCCGAGGGCGCCAAGCTGCATATAAGCGTTGCATAGCCCATCAGCAACAGGGAAGCTTAGATCATCCTCGTTGAAGCCATAGGAGGTTGTGAGCACAGTTGGCCGTGAATTGTCGCTGATCAAAGCATTGATTTGATCCAAGAACCCTCCAGCCTCATCGTTGTTCAACGGCCCGACCGAGATAAATCTGACAGGAACGCCGGTAGCGAGTCCAACCTGGTAGTTCTCCATTAGCTGGAAATATGATGTGGTGTGATACAACCGACAGTGTATTGAATATCAAGACTCTGACAGCATGGTTAGTTGACCAATTTTTAAGGGTATAGGGCATCACAAACCGCTTCAGCCCCCGCAAAAGATCTCAATTGTGTGTTCGAGCCCCCGTCGAGAAGCTCCACATCGAATTTGGTTGTTGGAGGAATGTCTGGACGGAATTCAGTCAAAAAATCCTGGAGTTATTGTCAGCCTTGAGACGACGGTATGAAAGTCATGAACCTTGAGGTCAAGGAAGTTGGCAAACTGGTTAATATATCCAGAGACGCCGAGGATGTTATTCTTCTGTGTGGCTGGCGTGGTTGGAATGCCATACTCGCCGAGCACGCATGAAATGGTCGTGATGTCAGCGCACGAAGGGTCGATGTCGCGCTTGTTCTTTTGGGGAACAGCCTTCGTCTTGGGAATGGCAAATGGGTTCGAGAAACTGGTTGTTGGGTGGACATATGAGACCAGAGGAGACAAGTCGGCGGGCAGCGAGTATTGCAGGGTGCGGATGCTAGGCTCCTCGCTGTCAGGATGAGTGAATGTCGTGAATTGCGCGTTGATGAGCGAGTTGGCCTGGGATACGGGGACTTTGAATTCCAAAATATCACCTGCGGGTGAAATGGGTTTCGCGACGATCTTGTTGGTATTCAGCCACGCGTTGACAGCAGAGAGCGCGTCGGCTGGGGGTTTGACGAATTCAGCTACCTATTCAACGTGTCAAGCCATAACGATTAGCGGTCTATGCACAAAACTTACCTGTTCTGGTGTGAGGTGTTGGCCATAACGCGAGCTGCCGGGAGTTGACACGGCGTAGAGTTCACTCTCCAAGCCAGCGATGTTGTTGGGTTTGAGTGCGATCCGGAGAGTGAGTTCTTCGTTGGATGGGGCTGGGCCAACACTCGTGAAGCCTTTCGCTGGTTTCGCTCTATGTTCATGGACAATGAGGGCCGCCCGCTCCGTTGGTGTCGCGATTGCGACCGCAAGCAGAACTGCGGCGAAAGAGAGACGCAAGAGAACCATGATGCTTGGGAGGTGACTCTGAGAGGCTTATACGACTACTTATTATTGACACACCTACTCCCCAGCTTCCTGTATCCGCATCTCCATCACACGGCGGGGTAATGCTGCCTTGAGTTTCGTGAGGGCATTGCTGCGCATCGTGTAGCGAAGATTGAGCCAGTTCCTCGTGGACCGTTTGTGCCGTTTGTCCAGAACTTCCAATGGCTCCAAGATAGGAAGCGTGAATCTCTGATGCTGTTGTTGCGTTGGGCTCCCGCTGATAATTCCGAATGCGTACTGAACAGCAAATAAAAGAAGTTTCGGCATCCCGCTCAGACGTGCGGATGCATAGCTGTAAGTAAGTGTAAGTAGGTGAAATGAATGCTTCGAAGTTCCAACACACTATTCTGTTGGCAGATCGAAGAAGGCTTCGTCGCGCTTGCTGCATTGAGCAGAGAAAGCGAATTATACGCACGGACCGCAACCATTGAATGGCGAAATGCAGATATGATTGAGAATTTGTTGAGAATTCGAGATGAACGTCGGGAGGATGAAGTTGACGGGCACGTGCTATGGCGGACTATTTTTGTCATTCTCGCTAAGACACAGTAAACTGCGGGCATTCATTTCCATAATGTCAATGATACTAGAAGACGAGAGAGACTCGAGCATCTTTCGCCCCATCCACATCAACGTTGACTGCCGCGTTAGTGTCAAGATCCCCGCTTGTGCTCCAGGACACCGCGGGGTTATCGTGGGTCATATTCAAATTGATGTGGTCGAAGACAAACGGGCCCGGGGGGTAATGACTCGCCTGAAAGACACCTTCTTCCTCGAGCTGCAAAGCAGCAACACTCGGCGGAACTTCCCAGCCGACTTCGAGATAGGTAGTGTTAGACACACTCGGCAAGCTGGCAATATACCAAAAGAGACCTGGCGCCTCCTCATTGAACTCTGCGTCGCTGAAGATGGTGCTCTCGATTTTTTGCCCGACTTCAACGGTGATTTTCTCGTCAGTAATGGCCTGGAGGACATGGCCATCTGGGATTTCGACCAGGAGAGCATAGGTCCAAAACGGTCCCGTCCCATACAACCAACTACCACCATACTGGAAGAAGAGCGTTGAAATTGGAATAATCGGAGTGACTATGGCTAGCTAACCTGAATGGCAGCCTTGGCATTGCCGAAGCGCACACCGGTTGTTGGGTGCAGCACTGAAACACTGGAGCTAAAGTAGATAATTTGGCTGTCAAATGTTGCTGGCGCAGGCGGGACGACGAAAGTGGTGTTGAACGATTGGAGTAAATTTTCTACTGACGGTGTAAACGACGTAGACGCCATTGTCGAGCTCAATTCCTGGCGCTTGTCCAGCGATGGCTTGGTCCCGGCTCCTTTGGGAATCACATTTTGAAAAGTATGGATGAGAGTTCCGTTTGGGGCAAACACCAACATATCTGTGCTCTTCTGCTTGATGCGCGAACCACTCGGCACAGCGTATACAAGTCGACCATCAGGAGTATGAGCCGTCGGAGTCAGAGCGACAACGGTCTGAGTGATGAGAGCAACAATAGCAGTACAACGAAAGAGCATCGTTGTTCGGTTTGAGGGTTTTTCAGCCTTTAATAGCAACTCCATGCGCGCGCGCTCAAAACTCGTACGGCGACCGAGATGTCGACAATCTTGACTTGGTTGAATGTCAAAGGAAGTTCAAGTTGACTTTGCGCAGAACCGAAGATAAGATAACTACCAATCTGATCTAATCAGTTGGAAACACAACCGAGACCTGACCATCCGCTGCCCCATCCACATCGACTCTGAACTTGACATTAGTGACAGGATCGACGCTCGTTTTCCACTCTAGGGGGGTGCGGTGCCTGTCTCTGTCATATTGAGCTTGATGTGGTCAAACATGAAAGTGCCTGCGCAGTGCGGGGAAGTCGCTGGACTGGAAAACGCCCTCCTGTTCGACCTCGAGGGCAACGATGCTAGCGGGAACATGCCAGCCAATTTCGATCGTGGTCGCGTCGGGCAGGTTGGGGAAGCCAGCGATGTACCACGTAAGGTTTAAGGGTCGTGTCAATCCATCAAGCACTGGGTCATGAACAATCGAGCTGAGCACCGTCTGCCCAGGCTTGAGCGTCGGGTCAACACCGGGGATGGTGAACTGCAGGAATCCCATCATCGAGAGCTCAAGCTGGAGGGCAAATGTCCAGAAGGGCCCCCCTTGAATCGCACTGCCTCCATACTATGGCAAGATTTAGAACAAGGTGACAAGTGGTTATCCGCACGAACCTGGAGAGCAGCTCTAACATTGGCGAATGGAATGCCAGTAGTTGGGTCTACCGGTTGGATATTGGCACTAAGAAATATAATTTGGCTTTCAAAGGTGGTTGGAGCAGGAGGGACAGCAAAGGAAGCATTGAACGACTGAATCAAGTTGTCTGTCGTTGCGTTCACTACTGCGTAGGCCCTTGATGCGCTAAGTTCCTGGCGCGGGGCGACAGTATGAGACGGGGCGTCGCGCTTCGACCAAGCTCCCTTCGGGACAACATTCTCGAATTTATGGATGAGAGTTCCGTTTGGTGCGAAGACCAGCATGTTGGCATTGTCCTGTTGAACACGAGAGCCGCCAGGTGCGAGGTAGATGGGTCTACCATCGGGAGCATGACCCGCCGGAGTCAAAGCAAGGGCAACTTGGGCAAAGAGAGCAACAGCCACAGGGCGAAAGACGAGCATCCTTGGAAGCCGCTTGAGGCGTGCATGGCAAAATTCCAGCCTTTTACTTCATTTCACGCTTGGAACTTGAACGGCGCTCGCGTTGTTGACAATCTTCGAATCGGGGATGAAGCATCGATGAAGCCTCACATGTGCGCTTAGTGCTCACAGCCTGTGGTGGCCGCGTCACGTCGGTCACTGTCGAATCAGATGATAGAACTTGAACTTGAACGAAGTTTGAAGATAAGTTCACTTTGATGTACTTGTGGAATTCAGAGAATAACTTTACAGTAACTCCTTGGTAATCGATATGAGATATACGGTCTAATCAGTCGGAAACACAATTGACACCCGACCATTCTCTGCCCCATCTACCTCAACTTTGACCTCCACGTTGGGGTTGGAATCGACACTTGTTTTCCGCGAGATCGGAGGAGTATTCAAGTTGTTGGTCATGCGGATGTTGATTGGGTCAAAATTCTCAAAAACCAAGGGGCCTGCGGGGTAGTCACTCGGCTGGAAGGCTCCTTGTTGTTCAAGCTCTAGAGCAACGACACTGGGAGGAATCTCCCAACCGATTTCGAGGGTAGGAGCGTCGGATATCGCTGGTAGGCTGACCTCGTACCAAAAGACGCCAGATGTCTCGACATTAAACTCTGCGTTGTGAACAATATATAATAGTTTGCCCAACTTGCAGCCTTGGGTCCGCCACATCTGAAACCGCCTGGAGAAAACCATCATTCGGAATTTGAAGTTGGATAGCATAAGTATGTCCAAAATCATGATGGGCCTGTTCCTTCCTCCCAACTACCGCCATACTAAATGTGTCGTTAGTGTTTCTTCAAAATAAAACATTCATAGCCAGCGCACTTGGAGAGCAGCTCTAAGATTACTAATAAAAAGACCATTAGTTGGGTTGAAGACCTGAATATTGCTGAAGTAAGTACATGATCTGACTTTCGAAAGTCGTCGGAACAGGGGGGACGACAAAAGTGGCGTCACTGTTGAACGACTGGAGTTGTCTTTCGTCGCGTTGACTCTTGAGCTCTGCGTAAGCCTGGGTCGTGCTGAGATCCTGGCGCCTGGCGATGGACGTCGATCCAGCCCCCTAAGCCCCCCTTCGGAATTGCGTTTTGCAACGTATGGATCAGAGTGCCAGTGCCATTGGGGGCGAAGACCAACATATTGGTCTTGTCCTGTTTAACACGCAAACCACTCAATGCAAGGTAGACGGGTCGAACATCAGGAGCATAACGCGCTGGAGTCAATGAAAGAAGAGCATCGTTGGGAAGCTTGCCTCTCATGCAGATCTCATGGCCAAGTTCGAGCCTTTAATTCCAGTTCGCGCTGAAGGTGATTGTAACTCGTCTTTGTCGATCTCAGATTTCAAATCCTCAATCACGACGAAGTACTGCGGTACATGAGACAAGGACCAAAAGAAGTTCACTCAGCGTGAACCTGAATTCGCCTAACTAAAACAACTAAAACATGCACATCGAGAGATAAGCGAGCTTCGATTTGGTCTAATCGGTCGGGAAGATAATGGAGACTTTTCCATTCTCTGCCCCATCCACATCAACTTGAATGTCCACATTCGTTGTGGGGTCAACGCTCGTTTTCCACGAGATCGGGGGTGTATTATTCGTCAAGTTGAGATTGATTTGGTCAAATACGAAGGAACCTGCCGGGTAGTCGCTCGACTGCAAGACGCCTTCCTCCTCCAATTCGAGGGCAACAATGCTGGGAGGAATCTGCCAACCGACTTCAAGGGTGGTCGAATTGGGCACGTTAGGGAAGCCAGCGATGTACCAGAAGACGCCTGGTTCCTCGCTATCGAGCTCTGGATCGTGGACGATTGTGCTGATAATATTCTGCCCAACTTGAAGGGTAGGATCGGCTCCGATGAGAGTAACTTGAAGGAAACCAGCGGGGGGGATTTCGAGCTGGATGGCAAATGTCCAGAATGAGCCTCCTTGGACCCAACTGCCTCCGTACTAAAGCACTCATGACTGATTGATTCACTGATAAGTGGTTTTACTGACCTGGAGAGCAGCTCGAAGATTGCCAAACGGAATGCCAGTAGTTGGATCCAACACCTGAATATTGGCACTCAGGAAGATGATTTGGCTTTTGAATGTGGTAGGAGCAGGAGGAACGACGAAAGTGGTGTTGAATGACTGAATCAGGTTGTCTGTCGTCGTGTTTAGCAATGCGTAGGCCTGTGTCGCACTAAGATCCTGGCGAGGATTGATGATGGACGGCGCGCGTTTCGACCTAGCTCCCTTTGGAATCACATTCTCGAATGTATGGATGAGACTTCCATTGGGTGCAAAAACCAACATGTTAGCATTGACCTGCTGAACACGCGAACCACTGGGTGCGATGTAGATGGGTTTGCCATCAGGTGTATGGCCTGCCGGAGTTAAAGCAAGAGCAGTTGTAGCAAAGAGAGCCGCAGCAATAGCGCTAGATAAGAGCATCGTTGGGTGGCCTACCCATAGCGAAGTTGGATGACCTTTAACATTGCGGTGGTCGTGGTCACGGGGGTCACAGTCACGATCTGAGATCGATGAGTGTGGGAAATTTCCGCCAACACACAAATCTCCTTTCACCATGCGGGCTTTCCTATGGAGCGGCCACAGGCAACCGCTGTGTGAATCAGGCGGGGCATCCTGGCGTCTATTGTTTCAATGAGTTCTTGTGCTGAAAGTGCTGCGCAACTAGAAATGTTACGGGAGCGCAACAGAAATCCATCGGCGGTGTGCAAATTCATCGAGGCTCCAAGCTTCGACTTCTTAATCCTTACATACGTCGAGAAGCGAGTCGGGCCCAATCTTCAAATCAGACCCCGATGTACTGCGTTCTATAAACTCAGCTCGTCATTTTGGCGACAGAGTAGCAGTCGTTGGGTGGTCATGTCCTTCCCTCGTCTCTTCAGCCTTCTCTCCTTGGTCCTCATTGTCTCCGCCGGAAGTTTAGTTCAACATGAACATCGCAAGTCTGCTCCCCCCGGATTCACCAACAAAGGAGCGACTGCCGACAGCCACTCACTCACCCTCCGCTTCGGGTTGACTTCCAACAATATTCCTGGCCTCCACGATAAGCTCTTATCTATCTCAACGCCAGGAAGTCCCGAGTTCAGGAAATGGCTCACTCAAGACGAGGTTTGTGCTATGCAGTCCCATCGAAGGTCCGCGACTGAACAGTTCCAGGTCAAATCTTTCGTTGCACCCTCCGCTGATACGGTGAAAGCGTTCAACTCTTTTGCCTCCGCAAATGGGCTCAAGACTACTGCCGTTTCGCCATTCGGAGAATGGGTGACCGTCGCGTTGCCCGTCTCCAAAGCCAATAAACTCTTCGCCGCCAAATACACCAACTTTACACACACCGATCTGGCAGCCCCAATTACGCGTACCCTGTCCATTTCCTTACCTTCTGAACTTGTGGGCCATATCGATGTCGTTCACCCAAGCACGGCCTTCACAGTTCCCGAAACGCGTCTGGGGCAACGTATCCGACTCGACAGAACCGCGAAGCGAGATGCGACTGCTCCTACTGAGTGCAACACGGATGACCCAAACAACTCGATCACACCAGCATGCTTACAGGCTCTATACCGTATTCCCACGACCGCTGCAACACAAGAAAACAACGCGCTACTTGTCACTGGATACGAAGAGCAATGGGCTGAAATCGACGACCTCCAGGTCATCTTTCTCTATCTTATCATGCGCGCCTTCTGAGATTTCTCCTAGGCGTTCATGAAGCAGTTCCGTCCCGACTACTCAGCTGGCTCAAATCAAACTTTCCTCCGTCTGGCAATTGATGGTGAGTTGAACAGCGAGAAAATCGAAACAAGCTAACAGCATACCAGGTGGAACGAACCCTCAGGTAATACGCATCGCATCCAGCTCATCTCCGAATTAACCCGTGCAGTTCCCTAACTCTGCAGGCATCGAGGCTCAGCTTGATATCGAATATACGGCAGGTTAGTGTTCATTATCCTATCTCTCAACGCTTTTGAACTCTCTCTCTCTAGGCGTGGCAACGGGAGTCCCACTGCAATTCCTCACCGTTGGCGGATTCGACTTCCCAACTGCATTGCTAGACACTACGACCTTCCTCGCGAGCGACCCATTCCCACCCACAGTCATGACGACCTCGTAAATTTCTACTAGATGAATTAATGTTCATGCTAACATCCTTTAGATACGGAGACAACGAGGAAAACTTCGGCCCTTCTTTGGCAACGTGAAGCCTCGCTTTTTTGTTCCCGACTCGCAAGCTAATAGACAACAGTAAGATTTGCGATGGTTACGCTGCTGCTACAGCTCGAGGCATCTCTGTACTATTTGCTTCGGGAGATGTGCGTCATATCTGAGTCGCAGCCGTATTTACCTCGTCTCATGTCACTTTAGGGCGGCGTCAATGGCGGCCACGACGATGGTTTCGACTGTGGCCTCTTTATCCCAGTCTTCCCAGCGTCTTGCCCCTATTTGACCTCGGTTGGTTCGACTATTGGCTTTAGCCCTGGTTTGTTCGATTTCCCAGACTTCGAGCCCGATTCTCACTCGCTTGAAAGAGGTCGCCGTGAATTTCACTGGAGGCGGGTTCTCAAATGTCTTCCCTCAACCTTCCTACCAATCAGAGGCCGTCGCTGCATTCTTCAAAACCATTCCTGCCAACTCCACGGGCGACTTTAACCGGACTGGACGGGGCTACCCCGATATGTCCCTCCAAGTATAAAGGTGTCCAAATGTTCGCTCCAAACGCTCACCACTCTACAGGGCTGGAATTTCCTCATTACAGCTGATGGAACAACTGGTGATGTCAGTGGAACTTCAGCCTCATCGCCGAGTGCTGCTGCTATAATCTCTCTTGTCAACGACCAACTTATCGCGGCTGGTAAACCTCCCCTCGGTTTCCTCAACCCGTTCATCTATGCGAATCCCTCGGCGTTCAACGATATCAAGATTGGCCACAACTCGGGCTTTGATTGTGACGAATCAACGGTCAACTTCATTCTCTTCCTTTTATAACTTGACTGATTGTCCTCTAGCAAGCCTTTGATGCAGCTGCGGGGTGGGACCCACTCAGTAAGTCTTGACTCCCTGTCTAATCACACATGTTTTGACTCGATCTGCAGGTGGGATGGGCACTCCGGATTACGAGCGCTTGTTAGCGGCCGCTTTGTACGCGTAAACACGATAGAAAATGCACCTTGAACGTAGGACACTTGAATGATCTTAGAAATTGATCTCGAACGCCACATTCCTGAGTTTCAACACTGATTCAAAGACTAAACACAACTTGAATGAGCAAAATTGGTTGGCGAATCTATATCTTGGTGTTTCTCTACTGCAACGCGCTGGGGGCCACTGGCGGCGGCAAGGTTGGTCTCGGGCGGCGGCTGTGTGCGCTGGAGCTCAGGCTTGGTTCTATTCCTCCTGCTCCAACCGCTGGGAGAGCAATTCCGGTGGCTCCACTGGGGTCATATGGAAGGCTTAAGCTTGCAGGAGGGGAAGGCGGGGCTCCGCCTTTGAAAGGAAGCCGGATGGGTCGCTCGAACCCAGCAAAGTTGAACAATAGTACTGATTCAGAGGGCGCTGGGTCGGCTGCTGCCCCTTCTCCATCAATGGGAGCCGCATTGGCCTGGAGGAGGAGTGCGCCGATGAGAAGAGCGAGACTGGTTGATCGCATGGTAATTTCGGGGTGTCTTGTGGGTGTTTGGGTCAAGGCCATAGGGATGACGCCGTTTTATACTAAATCATGGCCAAACATCCGTGGTCCACTTCCGCGCGGATGAGCATGAAGGTCTAAGACGAAGTGGAGTGGAATGGTCCTGTGCGATCACTCATAACAAAAGTCTCGATACTGTTTGCAATGTCAATACGTTGTACAAATCAAGCACTACGATGGAAAGTAATGCCAGAGAAGTTTCCTGCGTCTGTCAAAATCGCCGTCTTGTTACTGCCATCCAGCTCCGTCACCCATAACGAGCCCAACAGGTCGGAGATGTAGACCTGTCAATGCGTTAGTCTTCAGGGTTATTGAACCGATGATACACAAACCTTTTTCCCGATGTCGTCAATAGTCAGACCGATCGTTTCGTGGAAGCGTTCGGCTATGACCAAATCTGCGCTGGGTCCACGGGGAGGACGAGATTGGTCGAACGGGGCGCTGACGTCAGCTCGATTGAGACTGTTTCCGAAGGGTGGATCGCCACGGTCAGTCCAATACAACCATGAGCCATGTAGTTCCAGATCGATGGGTTCGGGAAGCCCGTCAAAGAGGACTTCAATAGCTGGCTGACCACCCGCGAGTTGATCATATGCAGCACGGAAAATGCGGCCTTTATAACCCTTGGAACCGCCCTTCTGAGTCCAATATAACAGCCGACGCTCAGTGTCAATGGCGATACCAACACACCAAGTACGCTGATCGCTGTGTTGTTCAGGGGTCAAGGCGGATACATAGAGCGTCTCGAGATTGGAACCGTCAAGCGAGCAACGTTGAATTCGTCCACCTTCGCGGTCTGCCCAATATAAATGCTCTCCATTGACATCAAGAACAAGTTGCTTGGGAGTGTGGGTCTGGCCAGGCGCAACAATCGTTGTAATTTCCGAGCCGTCCAGGTTAGAGCGGCTGAGGAATCCATCGTTTGCTTTGGTGCCCATGTTGGTCCAGTAGATATGTCCTAGAAATTGTTAGCCTGAGATTGTGCGAGAAAAGAGGCATAAATGTACCTTTTCCGGGACGAGTATCGATTTGCACACCATCCGGAAGGCTACGAAGCCCGCTCACAAGCGTTTTTCCCTCTCTTCCATCAATCGAAAGCGAACGAATCTCGCCTTTGATGATGTCGAGGAAAACGATATGGTCCTTGCCAGCAATAGCCTGGTGAGGCGGGTGAACGTAGAAGCCTTTGCCTGTCTTCACTCCCAACTCGCCTTTAGCTACCATGGACTGAAGCAGAGCGGCAGGTTCGGGAGGGATCTGACCAGCTCTAACTTGGGCGTAATGTGTTTCGATGTCGAGTGCAACATCAAGCCCGACACCATCAAGCATTTCGAAGACACCACGATGGACACCAAGCACGTCCTTCATAATGCCATCAACTTCTGTGGGTCCCGCGACGTCCTGAGCAACAACATAGAGTGCCTCGCGTTTGATCGCAGCCCAGATACGGTTGAAAAGAAGTCCAACAGACTCCTTCCGTCTAAAGTTGAGATGAGACTTTGCAATACAAGCGAGTCAAGGAAACCTACACGTGGTACATTCGTAAGCCATGTCGCGCCCCTTCCTTCAATAGAAGCGAAACAATTGCTGGGTCAGTGTATGGATTGGGCATTACTTCCAGAGGTCTAAAGCGCGTCAAATGGGTGGAGGGAGTAATAAAGGACACAGACAAGACGTTCGGAGGCATATAATAGTGCGTGTTGACAAGCCTAGCTTTGTTTTTGACTTTATCAAACATTTCCGAGCCGGTGTACGAGCTACTGTTGCTCGCCAGGATGCAGTCGTTGGGAAGAAGAGCATCGAGTTCTCCGAGAAGGTCGATCTTGAGGGAAAGAATTTCTGGCACTGTGGATTCCCTTAGCGCGCAAAATAAGTGTCCTGAAAACGAGGACAAGCTCACCAACTTCAACGACGATCCACGCATTTTCGACGGCAGCCGTACGGTCTTGGAAAGTTTTGAGCGTGCCGGGCTTTCCGTTTTCAACGCGAGCCGAAATTACGTCCGTGATATTTTCTGCGATGAAGGTAGCAGCATCTTGAAGAGCTTTGGCATTCGGGTCACTTTTTCTCGTCAGCGAGCAAAGGGAGAGAGACTTTAACACTCACAAAAGGTGGACTATTTCGCCTTGGGTAAGCCACATCAACGCGATGCGACGACCCAAAGTGCCTGCACCAAGAATGACGAATGGCTTTCCAGCGAGCGAAGTGGGTTGAGCGTAGGGCATGTTGTCTTAGTGCTTGAACCACTTATGACCGACATAAATAGTCCAGCTGGAGAGGGCGGGCAGGCGCATCGTCGGGGATAGAAAGGGCAAGACGAGAGAAAATATGTTAGTCACACCGATGACACGACGTTTGTTCTCGACCTTCATGGTCGCCTAACGGTCCGAGTCGCCTTGCTTCTCCACTATCCTTCAAGACAGAATGACGAAACTCCCTTGCTGCCCGTCTTCTCGCCGGCAGGGTATAATCGACATTACCCTTCAGCAGCTTCGATGTCCCAGTTCACCCTTGCTCTGCCCGGATTGCCTGGCCACGTTTTCGCAATGCTGCCAAACGAGCTATTTAAGTATAGTGCGTTGCTCGGACGGAGTCAACACCAATGGCCTCAGTTATCTTCTATCTTCATGGCAAATCGCCCGAGGCGGATGGCGTCTCCATTGTCGTTTCCTCTACCAACACTGTTGAACAAATACGCAACGATGTAGCTCAGAAATTCAGCATCGTGATGCCCAACTCGATTTCGTTTCACAAGGCAGCACCGTCAGAGACTATCCCGAATGACCTCCAACTTCTCGATACTGTGGACGCCATCCTCGGGGAAAAAACTGTCGCGTTGCTGATCAGTGGCAAAAAGGTGCCCTGCGTTTCGTTCCTCCTTTCCGATGACTAAGCATATAAACCAGGTTCGACCAGTCCCTGGTCCCACCGGTGGACTGCCGATTATAGGCAGCTACGGAGAGATTTATCCCGACTTCATTGGTAATTACCAGCGGCTACTGTCCAAATTTGGCCATATCGTTCATGTCAGCTACCTCGGAAAGGTGTGTTTTTATCTGTCTTCTCCGATTGTTCTGATAGTCAAGTAGGACGTCTACCTCACCGACGACCCCGACTGTGCCTCGTATGTTCTAAGTGAGAGCGAATATTATAGTAAACTCGTAAGTGATTTGCGAACTGTCTAGAGTGATTCGTCTTATTGGGATTATTAGGTCGGCGACAATCATCCACTTTTCCCGTTGAAGTCGAGCATTCCCAACGGGCTCTTCACCGCCGATTCTACAAACCCCGCCTGGTCGACGTCCCACAAGTTTATGATGACCGCCATGGGCGCAAAGGCCATGCGGAACTATGTTCGTATCATGGACAACACTGCTAATCGACTAGTGAAATGTTTTGACGAGTGAGGCTTGTTCGGCAAGCTGACCTTCGATTTATTAAAGTCTTTTCCAGGATCTGCGAGAAAGAGCAGAGTGTTGATGCGTTTGGGTGGGGACTGAGAGTGGCTGGACAAACTATCGGAGAGGTCGCCGTTGGAATGGATTTCGGGATGGTCACCAAGTAAGTCTATATTGTTATTTTTTTCACAAAAAAAAGGAATTTATTGACCGCGACCTTTCTCAGCTCAGACAGTTCTATTGCCAGAATTTTCCACATCATCGGTGAGAATCTCGCGCTTGCGCAAACACTCTTCCGCAAAGGTCGTGTCTATCGCGCACTACCAAATCCCGAAGCACGTGCACAAAAACGCGCGACTCTCGAATTCGTGCGTTTTTTTTTCTTCGATATTCCGGCCAACTAAACTAATGAGCTGTCAAGTCCGAGTTCGTCCGCGCTGAGTCGGAGCGAACCTTGAAGGAGCATACCGAGACCCCTGACATGCCGTATGCCAAAGCAGCAGTGGAGACATCGAGTCTTCTGGAGTACATGGTCTGAGCTTTATTTCTTCCTTCCCAGAAATCATCTGATGGATTCTCAGCTGCACGCAACGGATGAGGAGGGCAAGAAAATGGACGTTTCTCTAGTCCACGAAAACGTGATGACCTTCCTTGGTGCTGGACAGGTCACGACTTCGAGTGCTTTGGGATGGGTATGTAGCACCAAGAGTCCCATTTTCGCGTCTAATCCTTACTTCAAGCTCTGGTTTTGTCTGGCCACATTCCCCTACTACGCGCGCAAACTGTACGCCTCCTTAATTGCGGCTGGTATAACCAAGGATAAAGAGATAACGGCGGACGAATTGAACAAACTGGAGTATCTGGACTGGGTATGCATCAGAGTTCGAATCATTTTCACATTTCTGACGGTATTTTAGTTCATCAAGGAAACCCAGCGACTGTACAATCCTGCGTTCCAACCTACCCGCCAAGCACAAAAAGGTATGTGATTTCGTCTTATCCAGGCCACTGGTTAACTCCGCAATAGACGTGATCATGCCGGGTGGATTTTTAGTCCCGAAAGGCGCTCAAGTTACTGTCGCTTTACATTCCGTAATGGTCAACCCCGAACACTGGAAGGTGCGATGAGAGCGTTACATTGTAACTGCAACTAAAGCTTCTGTTCCAATAGGACCCACTCACATTTAACCCTGATCGTTGGGGCACCGAAGAAGTCCGCAAACGCCACAAGCATGCCTTTATTCCTTTTGCATCTGGTGGACGTGGTTGCATTGGATTCAACTTCGCTCTCCAGGAAATCAAGCTTGTCATTTCTCGCGTCGTGCTCAACTTCCAGATTGAGAATGTGACCGAAGGTGCTGTGATCTACGATCCCGACTTCTCGCTGTACCGACCACTCAACTTCCGAATGCGACTTCACAAACAAGTTGATCCGTCCTCAGTCGATCTTTCTATTCTCGAAACGACCACGTCGATCCCAGAGGCTGCCAAAGCGGAGCAGGTCACTGAAGCTCCGCAGCCACGTGTGGGGACAAGAATTTTGCCTCGTCTGTGGGCTGTTCATGCTTCAAACAACGGTACTTGTTTGGGCATGGCAGGCGATGTCGCTGCTCGTGCTCGACGACTTGGCTTCACAGACGTTCAAGTTGTGCGACTAGAGGATTCGCCTCTGGCCAACGCGGAGAAGACCAAGGAAATTATTGATGGAGACTCTAATCTATTTTTGATTTTCGTGTCCACTTACAATGGAGAACCCCCAGACGCAGCTTTGGCATTCTCGGATATGCTGGATGAAGAAATGAAGCAAGCGAATGGCAGTCGTTTCGCCGGAATCAATTTCTCGGTGTTCGGGGCGGGCAATACTCAATGGGGACCCACATACCAAGCCTTCGTAAGCAAACCCTTGTTATCTTCGGAGAAGATCCCGGGCTGATCTTGTGTCATCAGCCCAAGAAAGTTGACGCCAACATTGCTGCGTTGGGCGGGAACCGTGTTTTCGAGAAGGGCAGTGGCGACGCCAACGGTGACCAAGATGCTCACTTCACGGAGTGGATTACCCGTTTGTGGGCTGCGACAGCCGCCAACTTCGGCGTCGATGTCCACGGCAACTCTCTCACTGGGGAAAGTCTCCTTACACAACCGCCTGAGCACAACGCAGACCAGGTTCAAGTGGAGTTCGTGGCCCAAGGCAATTCGACTTCCTCTATCCTCGCCCAACCACCTGTGTCCGGGTTTGTCCAGATCAATGTTGCAGAAAACCTGGAACTTGTGGATTCGGAAACACCGCTTCCTCGTGGTATGCGCCTAATCACGTTCGACATTCCTGAAGGGTTCAGCTATCGCGAGGGGGATCATATGGAGGTGTTCCCTGAGAATGATCCCGCTGTCGTCGAGAAATTATTGGTGTCACTCGACTTTGTTGCGGATGCCTCGTTTTCGGTCAAGGAGATAGGGGACGGCGTCAACCCCAAGTCGCTTGCGGCGTTGCTCGTCGGCCGCGGACCCATCACGCTGCGGGAATTGCTGGTCTATTACGCCGACCTCGCTGGCCCGCTCCAGCGCAGCAGTGTCCAGGTTTTGGCCTCTTTCCTTCCGGCTGACGAACCTAAGTTCAAGGCGACTCGCGACGAGTTGACGGCTGTTGGGGTTGCTGATGCCCCGACCTTTGCGCAGAAGAATCGGAACTTCAGCGCGCTCATGGCGAATTATCCCATTCTCTCGCAGGTGCTTACTCTCCCGCGTCTGCTGGTCGTCCTCCGGGCGACCCAGCCCCGTCGCTATTCGATTGCGAGCAGTCCTCGGGTGAACGCGCACGTGGCCAAGTTGTGTGTTGGCGTGGAAGACCCTCGGGTTGTGGCCCACGACCATGCTGGACTGTGCTCGAGTTTCTTGAAACGCATCGCGGTCGGACATGCGGTTTGGGCACGGCCGCGGGCGTCGCAGGAGACCTTCCATCTCCCCGACGACCCGACGGTCCCCATCACGATGGTTGCCGCCGGGACCGGCATCTCGGCCTTCCTTGGGTTTTTGGTGGGGCTCGATTTGCTTGCTGCTTGACCTCCGCTGATTTCTGTAGGAACATCGGCGCGCACAGGGCTACAAGGTCACCGAGACCGCGCCCTTCCGGCTTTACTACGGCACGAGCTACCACGACATGTCCCGCTTGCGCGCGCTTGTCGCCGGGTTCGCCGCGGGACAGCACCGTCCTGCTTGAGGCGGTGTATTCGGAGGAGGACGCGCCGCGCCGGTTCGCCCAGCAGCTGCTTACGCGTGACGCGCTGAAGGTCTGGGTCGACCTGTGCAACGGGGGCACGTGTATGTCTGCGGCTCGGCGACCCGGGTCGGGCAGGGCGTGCGGCATAGCCTGATGAGCATTGCGGAGCAGGTCGGCGGCGTTTCTGATCCGGAGGCGTGGCTCGCGACGTTGCGGAAGGAGGGCCGGTACAGCGAGGACGTGTTCGGGTAGATGGTACAGTGCTCCCAGCCGTCAAGGCTGGGAAATATTTTGTAGATTTTTTGACTATTTTTGTTGAACTCAGGCGCCCAAAATACGACGTTTTATGCCTCCAATCTTAATTTTCCCACGCTTGTTTCACTTTCCCAGGGTCGGATCTCGGACCAATGGCGTCGTGAGTATTTTGATGTTGTCTCTAATCAATTTTCATCAGGTTTCCGCGAACAGGCTGACGGCTCATTTCCGACTGCCAAAAAAATTGGTGCCCGAGTGTCTTGACGCAATTTCTATTGACACTATTTGGCACTTCTTTCGACACTGCAATCGTTATCGAGACGCATATCGCTATGGGCTCAACCCTCGTCAAGCAGCATATGCAGTAAAAAAGTATTCATCTCATCGACGGGTCCCTCGGGCCATCATGAGTGATATTAATATGAGGAGGGATAAGGCCGCAAGCGGCAGGTGCTGAACCTTACATAATAAGCCAGGGAAGACCGTGGCCAGCTGCCGCCAGCACCACGTGATATGACATGGCTCGTCCCAAAAGGGTTATAGAAATGCACAGCCATTCCCGATATGGGGGGGGCTGGTTTCAACATGATTCTATAGAGCCAAACCTTAGAGCCACTCCGGGAGCGCGTGAGCTGTCGTGAGCTGTCGTGAGCTGCCAAGTCAGCAAGGTCGCTTGAGATCGCAGGGGAGTGACACCCGGTGTGACTCAAGCCTGTCGCTACCTTTTCCTTCTTTCTTCGTCGTCCTTTGCTTGTCGTTGTTAGCCATGGTGAAAGAGCAGTGTAATTGGACTGCAGACCCCCGGGACACACTAGGTTCGGCAATTATTAATCGTGCATAGATAGCATAATTGGTAGTCTCGATTCCAGACGTTCGTGAGCGGCAGGCGAGCAAAGCTTGCCGGAACAGACGCTTGACGTTGCCGGGGTAGTTTTTGATGGGAGGGGTGATGGAAAAGGCTGCTCACGAACATCTGGTTCAAATTGATCAGAGATGTTGCGCATGCTTATATCTGTCAGGGGAACCTCCCTTTCGGCCCCTCGGAGACGCCTCCGATTCCGGTCCGACTCCGGTTCCGTCTCCGGTCCGGCCCTCCATCTCGCCCGCACAATCACCGATCCGTCAACGCCTTCCCGACGGTCGCCCTGGGACCTCGCCTGCGACGCCGCCCAAGCCTTCTGTGCCCGACAGCGGCAGCTACGGACAAGCAGTATATAGTCAGCTACCTAGCAGGCGGACCCTTAGAGTTTCTTCTCTTTGGATCCTCCCCTGCTAGGTCAGCTTCATTTGTATTCGCTTACCAATGTTCACGCTTTGGATCCTCCCCTGCTAGGACCTTGATCTCAGGCCTCCGGGGTTGCCCTTACAGCAGAAGAAACTCTCTACGGGATCAACCGGACAAGATTGCCAGGTTCGGCGCTGACTCAGGCTCGGAGTACGAGTCCGTTCCGCCCTCGTCACCGCCCCTGCCACTTGTCCCCTCCTCCTCTACTCCTGTGGTCCCCGCACCCGTCATGCCGTCCGGAGTCACTCCTACCGCAGACGCCCGGCTGGACTCACTCGAGGCGAAAATCGATAGCCTAACTGAGGCCCTTGCTTTACTCACCAACCAGGCTTTCCGCTGCCGCTGCCGCCGCTAATAATGCTGGCGGACCCCAAACACCATCGCCGGAGACGTCGATTCCGACTCCGACTCCGGTCCAGGGCGACTCGAAGCCCTTTTTGGCGACATCAACCTCGCCTCAAAATTGGTCTTGCGACCAAACCCCCCGTTCACCTTCAATGGCGACCGGAAAGCGCGGCCGCGCGTTCCTCTACGCGGTCCGCACCTACGCCCGCCTTGCCCCTGAGGCTCGTGGTCAACGGAGAGGCGAGCGAGGAAAAGGCTGTCCGCTATGCCATGTCGTTTATGGCAGAAGGACCCGCTCAGCAATGGGCGGAGCGCCACGGAAGCAAAGCCCCGTTTCCGTTTCCGTCCTGGGGCTCGTTCGTTTCCGAGTTTCGACTCCGGTTCGTTGAGGAGAACGAGCAAGATCACGCTCTCCAAGCTGGAGACTTCCGCCTATCACATGGGCACAAAGGATGTCTACCAGTACACCGACGACCGAGGACCTGATGGACCTCGCCGGATTCGAAGACGCGCTGGTCAAGGTGACCAAGTTCCGCCACGGACTTGACCCCTTGATCAACAACGGAATCACGTCCTCGAACGACCCCCCGGACCTCCGGGATTACCTTAGCTGGGCGCACCGGGCCTTCCGTCAATACGAGGCCCTGGTCCGGGCCAAGCTGATCAAGTCAGCCGCCCCCAAGACGCCTGGCGGTTTGATTCGGACTCCGTTTCCAGTCAACCGCATCCCGGCTCCGGCCCCCTTCCGCCCGGTGGCTCCGGTCGTGCCACCCGCGGCCCGCGCCCCCGCTCCGGCGCCTCCAGCTCCCGTCCCTATGGAGTTGGATCGCACCAGGGCTCGGGGTGCCCCTCGTCGCGCCTGCTTCAGGTGCGGCGACCCAAACCATCTCGCCCGGGATTGCCCCCTCCCCGCCGATGTCCGCTCAATGGACATCCTCGACGAGGTGATCCAACAACTCGGTGATGAGATGTTAGCGGAGTTGATCGCCCGCTACACGGACACAGCTGCCCTGCCGGAGACGGCAGCGGAGTCGATGGCCGGAGAGGATTTTGTCCCCGCGACGAGTGACTGGTGTGCCCTCGTTCGCGTCTATAAATCGTTTTGCCTCTTTGTATGATGAATGCAGTTCCTTGCCCTACAATGAGCCCGAAACGAAAGACACACCCTCTCCTGCCCCCCGTCTCGACTCCGTCTCCGACTCCGCCCGCGACTCCAGTCATCGTCCTCCGCCGCCTCACTGCCTGGGAAAAGAAACTGCCCAAGCAGTACACCGTTGCCGCTGCCCCTGGGGCAAACTCCCTCCACCTCCCGTTAGAGCTCGAGTCCACCACCAGCGCTGAAGCTCTCACTCTCTGGGCTTGTCGACTGTGGTGCCACCTCCGACTTCATTGACACGAACTATGTTGCTCGGAATGGCATTCCGGTCCGCACCCTCGATCAGCCGATTCCGGTTTTCAATGTCGATGGCACCCCCAATGACGCTGGCTCCATCAAACAGATCGCGGACTTGGTCCTGCGCTACAAGGGCCATGCCGAACGAGTTCAGCTGGCCGTCACCCATCTTGGCAAGCAAGACCTCATCCTGGGGTATTCCTGGTTGCGGAAACATAACCCAGAGATCAATTGGGAAACCAAGGAGGTCAAGATGACACGGTGCCCCCGCAATTGCTCGACCTGCCGTGAGGAAGAGCGGGTCGAACGGACTGAGTTGCGGCGACTCCGGTCGCTTCAGAAGCGTCTCCGCTCCGGCCCGTTCCCCTCGGTCTGCGCCATGGACCTTTCTGGGTCTGATGACGGAGACGATTCCGTCTCCGGTGACGACTCCGGCCTGCCTGATCTGACGCCGGACTCCGACGACGACGATGACGATGGTCAGCTTGAAGATAGTGACCGCATCTTCTACACCTCGTTCCGCCCCTCGGAGGAGATACGCGCTGGCAGTACTGTCTCGCAACGCCTGGCCGAAGCCTTCGCCAGGAACTCCGCCCCTCCGCCCTCCGAGATCCCGGACTGGGCTAAGGAGTTCCAGGACGTCTTCAACAAGGAGTCCTTCGACACGCTACCGGAGCGGAGAGCCTGGGACCACGCCATTGAACTCGTCCCCGATGCTAAGCCCACCAACTGCAAGGTGTACCCCATCTCGCCCCTCGAGCAACGCGAGCTCGACGCGTTCATCGAGGAAGGGCTTTCAACGGGCCGGATTCGCCCCTCCAAGTCTCCGATGGCGTCTCCGGTCTTCTTCGTCAAGAAGAAGGACGGAGGACTCCGCTTCGTCCAGGACTACCGTGCTCTCAACGCGATGACTGTCAAAAACCGGTACCCCCTTCCGCTGATCAACGACCTCATCAACCGGCTCAAAGGCGCTCGTTACTTCACCAAACTCGACGTCCGTTGGGGCTTCAACAACGTCCGGATCAAGGAAGGTGACGAGTGGAAAGCGGCTTTCCGGACTAACCGAGGCCTGTTCGAGCCCTTGGTGATGTATTTCGGCCTGACAAACTCTCCCCCGACGTTCCAAACGATGATGAATGACATTTTTCAGGACCTCATCCTCTCCGGAGACGTCATGATCTACCTTGACGACATCTTGATCGCCCATTCCGACCTCCGGAAACACCGGCAGATTGTTCAGGAGGTCTTGCGGCGACTCCGGAGCACAAGTTGTACCTCCGAGCGGAGAAGTGCGACTTTGAAAAATCGTCAATCGAGTACCTCGGAGTCATCATCTCCCACAACCACGTCGAAATGGACCCCGTCAAGGTCGCAGGCGTCTCCGCTTGGCCGACTCCGGAAAACAAGAAGGACATTCAGCAGTTCCTCGGGTTCGCTAACTTCTACCGCAGGTTCATTCGGGACTTCTCGACCCTTGCACGCCCTCTTTTCGTGCTCACCAAGAAGGACCAGCAATGGACTTGGGGGGCGACGCGGAGGCCTCCGCGTTCCAAGCGATCAAGGACGCGGTCACCTCGGAACCGGTCCTGGCGATTCCGGACGACACACGGCCTTTCCGACTCGAGCGGACAGCTCTGATTATGCGACGGGGCGGTTCTTTCACAATCCGCCCCGGACGGGAAGTGGCACCCTGTAGCATTCTATTCCAAAAGCTTAAATGATGTCCAGCGCAACTACGAAATCCACGACAAGGAGATGCTCGCGATCATCATCCGCGCACTCGAGGAGTATAGACACTTCCTCGAGGGCGCCGCGCACCCTGTCGAGATTTGGACTGACCATAAGAATTTGGAGTACTTCAGGAAGACGCAACACCTCAACCGGAGACAGGCCCGGTGGTCTCTGTACCTCTCCCGGTTCGACTTCACGCTGCACCACAAGCCTGGCCGCGATATGGGTCGGCCTGACGCCCTCTCCCGGAGACCCGACCACGGAGTCGATTCCGACAACTCCGACGTCGTCCTTCTGCGGCCTGAACTCTTCCACGTCCGCGCACTCGAGGGCGTTTCCGTTCCGGTCCCGGCTCTGAACTCCTCCGTGACATCCGTGATGCCCTCTCCGGTGAGCCTGACCTGGAGGAGCCCGTCGCACTAGCGGCCCGGCAACTTCTTAAGGTTCAAGGTCAAGCTCGAGGCCCCCGCTCCTCACGCTCTGACGAGTGGGCCGTCTCCGGCGGTCTTCTCCATTTCCGAGGAAAGATCGTCGTACCAAAAGACAAGGACCTCCGGAGACGCATCATCGAGCTCTGCCATGACACCCGAGTCGCCGGACACGCAGGTCGTTTCAAGACCTTGGAGTTGGTCTCCCGGAACTACTGGTGGCCTCAGATGTCTCGCCATATCGGCCGGTATGTTGCGACCTGTGACTTGTGCTGTCGCACCAAGGCACTCCGGAGACTGCCCCACGGAGAACTGCACCCCACGGAAACGCCCCCGGAACGCTGGCATACCGTCTCCGTCGACTTCATTGTAGAGCTTCCTGAAGCCCATGGGTACGACGCGATCATGGTCGTCGTTGACACCCTCGGAAAGCGCGCCCACTTCTCGGAGTGTCATACGACGGTCGATGCAGTAGGGGCAGCCCGCCTCTACTACCGGAATGTCTGGCGGCACCATGGGACTCCGGAGAAGTACGTCTCCGACCGCGGCTCGCAGTTCATCGCGGACTTCACCCGAGAACTTTGGCGTCTAATCGGCATCAAGCCCGCCACGTCCACCGCGTACCACCCGCAGACAGACGGTCAGACAGAGCGCGTCAACCAGGAGCTGGAGCAGTACTTGCGGATCTTCACCAACTACCAGCAGGACGACTGGGATGAGCTGATTCCGGCCGCGGAGTTCGCCTACAACAACCACGTTCACTCCTCCACGCAGCAGGTCCCCTTCATGACGGACACGGGACGGCTCCCCGCATGGGCTTCGAACCCGGAGTCCGTTCCGCCATGGAGTCAGTGAACGAGTTCCGCGACCGGATCGCCACTGGTGTTGCTGAAGCCAAGGCCGCGCTCACTAAGGCCAAAGAGGAGTACAAGCGCTACTACGACCGGAGACGGACTCCGTCTCCGGAGTTTAAGGTTGGCGACCGTGTTTGGCTGGATGCCTCTGACATCAGGACGACTCGCCCCTCGGAAAAGTTCTCCCATCGCCGCCTTGGACCGTTCAAGATAGTCGCGGAGATCAGCAAAGGTGCCTACAAGCTCGACCTCCCTCCGCGCTACTCGAAGCTCCACCCGGTCTTCCCCGTCGTCAAGCTCGAGCTCGCTCAGGACGACCCCCTTCGACGGACGCGCCCGGCTACGACCAGCCCCCTCCGGACCTCGAGGACGGAGTCCCGGAGTGGGAAGTAGAGGAAATCCTGGACGCAAGGGTGAGGTATAAGCGGCTGAACTACTTCGTCAGATGGAAAGGCTACGACGCATCGCACGACCAATGGGTCCGCTTCGACCGCGTCTTCGCCCGGAGAAAATTGCGGAGTTCTATCGTAAGTACCCTGGCAAGCCACGACACATCGCCTCCGCGACCTTCGACTCGATTCCGTTCCGGTCTATGCGTCGGGACGCCGCATTCAAAGGGGGGTGATGTCAGGGGAACCTCCCTTTCGGCCCCTCGGAGACGCCTCCGATTCCGGTCCGACTCCGGTTCCGTCTCCGGTCCGGCCCTCCATCTCGCCCGCACAATCACCGATCCGTCAACGCCTTCCCGACGGTCGCCCTGGGACCTCGCCTGCGACGCTGCCCAAGCCTTCTGTGCCCGACAGCGGCAGCTACGGACAAGCAGTATATAGTCAGCTACCTAGCAGGCGGACCCTTAGAGTTTCTTCTCTTTGGATCCTCCCCTGCTAGGTCAGCTTCATTTGTATTCGCTTACCAATGTTCACGCTTTGGATCCTCCCCTGCTAGGACCTTGATCTCAGGCCTCCGGGGTTGCCCTTACAATATCTGATGACGTACATTTACTGATTGTCACCTTGGAATGGCTCAGTGGTGGCCTATAAGCCTCAGAGTTCCAATAATTTGTGGTGTATACTCAAGGCAAGGGTCTCTCAAGCAGCTTTGCAAATTTTCAGCAGCCAATTTGCATGTTATGGGCCTTACATTGGCCAATGATGTCAAATAACATAGTGATGAAAAGATCAGTCAAAGATGCTGGAGATACCATTTTTTCTTGTAGGAATAGGTGTACGGAGAGATTGACTAAGTAAATCTACCCCAATGGGGTCAGTAAGTCTTTAACAGCAAGAAAACCAGGAATTTTGGTTAGTTTGAGAAGCAACTGATAAGCATGCGCAACCCGCCTAGTGTTGCCGCGAGTCGAGTTCGAGTTCAACTCGAGTTGATGGCTCATCAGCCAACTCGCGAGTTGACTCGGCTTGGCTGCTGATCGGCCGAAGACCCAGGCATGGTAGACTAAGACTGGGCATCCAAATAATCCAATGTCATTTATGAGCAAGGCTGGTGCCAGGTCAGTGGGGCAAAGAGGGCTGAGATTGGCATAAGTTGATGTGTAGACATGAATTTTGGTGGCTATTGTGAGGGAGAGGCAGGACCTGCAGGCTGGCCCCCAGCCAGTATGTTGACAGTGATGTGGGGTGACACGATGACGAGCCATCAACAAGTCGAGTTAACTCGTTCCAAATTAGGAACGAGTCGAGTTGCGCTCGACTCGTCGCCCGAGTCAACTTCGAACTCGCGGCAACACTAAACCCGCCTGGTTAAATGGCACCAGATCTTCGAGGGCTGATTTCTCTGGCGTGATGGGTGACGGTACATCCCCGCATCATGTCCGGCATGTCCCCACTGCCCTCGAACGATCTGGGACCAAGAATACATAATTGGAGTCATTCGACAACTTTTTAACCGTTCTGAGCTCTGTTTGCGACTGAGAGACGATGCCGGGCCATGCCGAACAGCTTTCCCATGCACATTTCACTTTTTCGAGGGCGGAAAAGTGTAGCCTTCACCAAATCCTCAAATCACTGGGTGCCTATAGCATCGAGCTAAGCTTGTCTATTGCACTGCTCTGATACATAGAAAAATACAAATGGAAAAGGTTTTTTGTCGGGGACTTTACATGACGTGACAGAAGGTAGCAAAGAATTAAATTAGACGCCGTCACATGACGTGCCTGATTCGCTCCCACGCGTGTGCGACTCTGACGGACACTCCGATGCAGGCAGAGACGCTGGACCGCGCGACGCTCGAGGCGGCGGCCAAGTTCGAGGTGTTTGACGGCGGCGGGAACAAGGTCACGTTCGGCTCGCTGTTCGCGGAGCAGAAGACGGTCGTGGTGTTCATCCGTGCGTATGCGGCCTCTCTCGTTGTTGAGCTTAATGGTGGGCAGGCCATTTCTTCTGCGGGGTGAGTGCAAGCTAGACACGTGCCTCATTAGCGAACCTCTGTCAGTCCTGCAAGGTGTGTCCTCTGAACCCCAATGTGTGAAGTGCTGACAAGATAGATGTACGTTGAAGACCTGGCGCAGGTCCCTGCGGCGGCGCTCGCTGCTGCGGGCACCCGGATTGTGCTGATCGGATGCGGCGACTGGGCGGCCATCCAGGCATACCACGGTGTGTAGCAGCAGCAGTCGTCTGCGAGTTGGGCTCATCTGCGCGCAGAAATGACAGGTCCATCACCGGTCTTATGTAACCCTCGCTGACTGACGCAGGTTATGCTGGCGCGATCTACGCGGACCCGACGCGCGCGCTGTACACGCATCTCGGGCTCGTCGACAACCTCAAGGTCACGCCCGAAAGACAAGCCGCGGCCGGGCTATTTGAAGCTGTCGCGTCTGCAGAACACGCTCAACAGCATCAAGGTAAGCAGATTACATATGTGATCATTATTTACTAATAATATTGCAGACGGGCTACCTCGCGTACCCGGCGCTGACGTTCAAGGCGGGGAAGGTGTCCCAGAACGGCGGCGACTTCGTCCTCGGCCCGGGCGTCCGCTGTGCGTTTGTGCACCGGATGCAGAACACGGAGGACCGTGAGTGCCTGCCCCGGCCCTGTCCAATCACTGGCTGAGTTTTTCTAGATGTGGAAGTCGTGGATCTAATGAAGGCGGCCGGCGTTGATTATGCGCCTTGAGTAGCGCTCTTGTCGTAGTCCTTGCAATCATATGTCCTCGGTCTGCCCGCCGGCGCCGGCCCGGCCCCCGGGTCCCCTCGCGAACATCAGCGCGCCGCCCCCGAGAGCGCGGCCACGACCTGGCTCAATCGCGGGGACGCAGAGCAGCCACGAAGGATCGTTATTCTATCAACCACCGCCACGCTCGGGCCGCCGGCCCCGGCCCCATCCATTTTCCGGCACTGAGCGTAGAAGGGCTCGTTGTTGCCAATTGTTTGCATTTGCATTCGCGCGCGCGCCTGGTTCAGTGGCAACAGTGAGCGCGCGAACACCAGCAACAAGTTCAGTCACTTACTGATTTGTTTTAGATTCACGCTCGCCTGGCTGAGCAGCAACCGGTGAGCACGAACAGCAACAACGAGTTGATATACTTACTCGTCTGTTTAAAAGGCTTTCAATGCCGGCTATGAACGACGAGGGAGACCTTGCAAGCTCGTTTGCGCACACTTGTTTTAGCTGTAAAAGGTGTGCGCAAACAGCACAAGCAACTCCAATGAATTGCTTCGCTTGCGGGCTTGAGTTGAGGTATGTTAGATCTGCAAATGAAGTCAGTAAGTGGATATGACGCTGCAAATAGAACTGACCAACGTGTCGGTCAACAGAATGCGGGAATTCAAGTTGCGCAGACGCGCCGCCGCCGACCTGGAAGTGAAGATATGAAGACTTACTGTGCTGCTTGCGGGCTCGGTGCGGGACGAAACGAGGACAACTCCGACAAGCACGCTGTATTCATCTGACAACGAGGTAAGCAACATTGAATCCAAGTCAACGACAACTTACCTTCAGTTTCATGTGCCAGTGAGGAGATTGGACGACGAGTCAGCAAACTGAAGTACATGTTGTATTTGGTAGAAGTTGAATAAATATCGCTCACCTTCTTTGCGCGTGCCGTCACATGCTCGTGACTCGCATCGCTTCTTCTTGTCCCTCATGCTCGTGCAGGCGGCCTCTTTGACCACGCCAGGCTTCCGCGCGCCTCAAGCATCAGCTAGCGGTGGAGATGGAGGAGAACGGGAAACTGTGGGGAGATAGGAGAGAAATGGCGACAAGGGCTGCCGGGCCCGGGCCGGGGTATTCCAAGCGGTGAGTCCGGCCCAGTTGACTGCTTCTTCCAAGCCACACCCAGCGTTCAGCGGCGACCTGGCCCGGCTGACCGCACCCTCTCCAGCCCAAACGGCAGCTTTTAACCACCACGCCGGCGCCTACTCGGCTTCCCCTTCCTCTCTGGCAACTCACGACAAAGTACTGACTACGGCCTGGGCCGGCATGGTGCAGGACTTCCCCGGTTTTCCCGGTCGCCTCCAAAACTGGCCAAGCGGCTAGGGCCGGCGCGTCTTTCGCGGCAACAGCAGCAGCAACTCGGGACAGACAACGTGTTAACGCCAACCCATGCCCCAGCGTCCTCCTTGTCATTAACAACGGCTGTGTCGACTGCCAACGCTTCGCAACAACGACTAACTGGTCAAATCAGTCATCAAGACGGGATACGAGCAAAATGCTTACATGAACGACAAGAACGCGGGCGGCTGCAGGCAGCGCAGTCTTGGGCAGCGACGGCAACGAAGCTGGGCGGGCGGCTGGGGGTGTCGGCACGCCTTTCGAGGCAAACTCGTCGTCCCCTTGTTTTCAGGCCACAACTGGGCCAACGATCTCCGCGCGCAACAACGACAAACTAGTCTAGAAGTCAGTCAATCATCACGACGGGATACGAGGCTGACTATTACCCAACTCTAGTTTGGTTTCCGAATAACGCCTGCGCGACACGTTCCGCTATGAGCAGTGCCGAGTCGGCCTCTAAAACCGTGCGGCTCGGCACGCTTTTCAGCTGAGGCGGCGAATTCGCTGCTTGAAAGCTGCCAAGCCCACCCCGAATTACAGAGCGCTCGAATTTTACAAGGAAACTCACCATTAAGCAGTTCGGTCGCGCCGAATAAAGTGATTTGGCTGGAAAAAGTGAGCCGAACGTCTCATTTTCGCCAATAAACTTACCATTAAACAGCTCAAATTTGGCCTCCGCGATCGCAACTCCTCTGACGCAACGGTATCCGCCGAGCGAGCCCCCGACTGGCTGTACGAAATATAACTCGGTTGATAACGAGTTCTTCGCCCACGACATGCTTGTCGTCAACAACTGGGAGGATCGCGTGCGAGCCCAACGTCGGCTACAACAAGGTGAGTTGTTATTTGCGGGGCAGTTTGATTGAGACCAAGACCGCAGCAATGTCAACGGACATAGCCACGAGCTCGCCCAAGCGACCGTCCCGCAACGCAGACAGGGTGCGCTAGAGGCAAGCCGGCAGGAGCGACGCGTCGGTGGTGAAGCCGCTGACACCACTACAATTTCGGCCAACGCGCCGAACCAAGCGGCCTCGCTGGTGAGTCGCAGGGAAAACTGACCAAGATGTCAATAATCCCCCGCATTGAATGCAACGACTCACCAAGATGATCAGAAACATCAAAAAGCAGCAAGCACGATATGACTATGAGCCTGTCAGTTTTGTTTCTTGAAGCCGGGCAACAACACAACTTACTGATCTCCGCAGACGACGATGAAATCGTCTCCCGAGCTCGCGACTGGCTTGGCGCTGTAACGACAACGACGAGTCTGCCCAGCGCAGCAAGGACACGAGCCGCAAATCTTTGGGATAAGGTGAGATTGGGGTTCGCACAGTGCCCGTCACGGTAGACGACGACGAGCGCAGTTGTGAGCTGGAAGATATGGTCAGTAGCCAAATCAAGTGCCCGAATGGAAACTGACCTCGATGCAGAGTGTTTGCGATGACGAGCGCGGCGATTCCATCGCGGGCGTTGACACTGAGAGCGAAGCGCGAGAATTGAGCGACGACGAGAGGCATTAGCGATGGACGACAGACTGTTGTATACGACTTGTAGATTAATAGGCAGCAATGCCAATGATGATGGACAATGGTGGGGTTGAAAGGGGAAGGATGGAGGGAGAGGGAAAGAAGGAGTTGTGCGTTATTCGACACAAGTCAGGTCTTATATGGGCAGGAATAAGCGAGCGGCACACTTGTAAGCATGTTCGCGTCGCGGCGGAATCAACAAACACAAAGTTCCCATGAAAATTTCCATCTGTCAAGTGACGTTAGCGCGGGCATGCACGCCGCCCAACAGTTTGTTGAGATGCAAATACGCGATTTCGCGTATTCACCGTTCTAAGCAAATTGCGCTGGCGGCCGCGGTCTGGCCACCCGATCCTCGCGGGCACGCGTTTGGGGCTATGATATCTATCATATGCGCTTGCCTCTGTCGTAATCAGAGTGAAGTCGACTCCAGCAGAGAGTTATCTTGTCTCGTATTTACAACGAGAAAACAGTGGGCTGGACGCAAGGGATAGCTGCGATGAAGGCGTGGATAACATTTATTGAAACCGAACATTAGTTCCCACGCTCGGAATTGGGCGATCGGGGCTGAACTAGAGGGAAACCAGCAGTTGTTGGTACTGTTACCTTATCGGGATGCCATCTTTAGTGTGCTGATTCACCTCTCAGAACGTCCAGAAAGTACAAAAAAATATTGAGTATGACGTTTGGTGACGCTTCCGTGTGCATTACCCACAAACTTCACCTGAAAAAAAAATGGGGCCACTGTTCAAAACAAAAGGCATGAACAGCCTGTGGAAAAACAGGCACAGTGACCGGCAGCGGCTAGACCAAGAAGCGTTTGAAAATCTCAGCAGCCGGTATCACTTGATGTTACCACATCTGCCATGGCCATAGCCGATGTCTGTTTCAGGCTCGGCCGGGGCTATTTCTTCGCCTAATGCTCCGCCGATGCTTGCGCTCTCCCCCGATGTCAGTGGATTTGATTTTCCACTGATGTTATGTTCCTGGTCGACACCGGCGACCGGAGCTTCCGGCCTGATGTGACATCTGTTACATGCCGTGTTTTTTTTCCCTCCGTCTCGTGCGACGCGTCGGCGTGTCAACAAAAGTCACGCATCCTCTCTTTTCTTCACTCCTCCACCACCACGTCTCTTGTCTTCCCCCCCACCACTCTTCGTCGCTTTGACCAGTAGCCCAAGACCCGACAAGCCGCCTCTTGTCTTCCCGCGTCACCACCACATTCTTCGCTCGCAACAAGGTGTGTGCCCTTCTTGTTGTTTTCTGCTTGCTCAGGCTGACTGAAGGCCTCAAGCTTCCAGCATTTTGCGTCACATTAACTTGCCAACATCCGACTCCTGCCTGCAGCTCCCGGTCTTGCCGCGAACAGGTTTGCACCGTCATTTGTTTCTCAATTTTTCGCTGACACATACTGTTTGTAGTGCTGTTCTCGTTGCGCTACCATCCACCGCTGCTCTCTCCAAGACTTAGGCCGCACTCATGCCCGTCTGGCGTGGTCCTTCACGTGTATGTATTGCCTTATTCATGTCACTCTTGCGCTGACCCAACGACGCAGGACTCCCGTTGGGCTGTTTCACTGTCAGCTCTTTTGCGTTGCGCCGGCGTCAAGGCATCAGTGGAGCTGATGCTTTCGACACGTCTTTCTTGGCCCGTTGCTGCCCAACACATCGGACTGCCTCTCACCTCCTGCCGTTTTACTGCCAAGTCCTTCACGCACACGGCCTTAGTCCCTGGCAATCCTCCATTTCTTGTGTCCACATGGCACTGGCTTGGGCTTACGCCCAAGGCACAACATTAGTGAGTGTTGTCTCCGCTGAATCTGGCTCATGTACTAACTTGTTTCGCAGAACACGATAGTCTCGCTGAAAATCGGCGTAAAATGATGGCTCAATGGGTGATTACGTAAGCGTATATCGACCCACCTTTTTGCCTTAAAAAACTCACTTTTGCGCCAGGATTTTGACGGCCGAAGGCCCAGCGTCCCTCTAGGCTTCAACGCCACGGAGCCAGGGCTCTGCTCCCTGGCTTCCCTCTTGTGTCCGTTGCCTTGGGCAACCCCGCTCAATGCCGACCACCGCTGCATACGGCGCATCAATC